TACGGAACGCCGTAGCATGCTCCGTATCAGACACTGATTTTTTGCAGTGTACACCGTGCCGCTGTGGTAGAGTACGAGGAGGTACGCTCCGAAGGAGGTAGGCGTGTATATACTTCGCCGGCTTGCTCAGAGACGCGCAGGCAGCCCCCCACTCCCCACGCTTCCCCCCCTCTCGCGACGGCTGCCGAGCCGACGACATGGCGGCAGCGTGCCGAGAAGGTTGCCGTTCGCTGTATGCTCTGCTACTCTGAGTCAGGCGCCGCCGGCGTCCCAGATCCCTCATCAGTCCCCAGAGTCCAGTGAAGCTAGTCGGTCACTTTGCAGGCCGAAGAAGATAAACCACGAAGGACGCAGCCATCATGATCTTCATGCAGTTTCCTTCTGTGGTGAGACGTAAGTTTGAAGCAAATCCTAAGTTTCCGACTGAGGCGCAGGCATCATCTGGTCGTTGCGTATGCGAAGTGTCCTGCTAGCAGGTCTGTTTTTAATTTTGTGAACCTCCTTCAGACCAAACCTTATTTGGCTCCCCAACTTAACACAGTGTGTCGCAGTATACCATGACAGGTCATTTAAAATTACTTTTTGGAATAACGAGCACCATGGTTATTTCTGGGGCAGTAGAGCAGTTAAACTATTTATGGGTGAAACAAGATAATTTTTTTTTCTACTTGTGACGGATGAATTGCTTTTATAAAAAACGAGAGGAGCGCAGGGGCAACGAATGGGGGAATCAACAAAGAACTTGTAATTAAAAAATTCAGGTCTCGACAACTTAATTGAGGAGAATTTGGGCCAACGACTAAATTTGTTACGTAAACTTCCAAAGCTCACAAACTTAAGGGAGTTGGGCGCTTTCCCTTGGGGTTTAAGTTCATCTGATAGTGAGCAGTTAGAAACTAAAAAGCAATCCTGATGCCACAACTTTTTTGGAAAATGGTATTTCACATTTTTTCCATTTTACAGTAACCTTAATTGCCCTGTTATGGTTTTTTGGGACACACACTGTTAATTTGGGGGACCAAAACATGTGTTTGGTCTGCAAGGAGGTTCACCAAGTTAGAATATCTTCAGTTTGACACTGGGTACAGTAAAATTGATAAGGAAAGGGGCATTTTTGGAATTTTTGGGGAAAAAATGAGAAAAACACTTAATTTTAAATGGTTCGTATCAATTCAACTAAGCAAGACCAAGAAACATGGGACTCAATTTAAAACGTTCCTTGTTAGTTGATTTTAAAAAAAAAATACGATTTCAAGAAATCCTAGGAGTCACGAAGTAAATTTGATTATTGTGTAAGATGTGGAAAAAGAAAAAGTGGTGTTGTGAAGTTGTGGCCAGGGGACTGAGCATGGCAGTGGTACCGATGTGGTCGATGTGCTACCCGTCGAAATTTAAACTTGACAAAATAAAAATAAAAATGCTTTTAAAATTCAAAAATTCCAATGCTAATGTATTCCGCAGTGTTCTGACAATGGAACATTTTTAAAATCCTCATTTTTAAAAGTTTTTGGGCAAAAAGAAGGCAGTAAATTTATTTTCACGGGTTGGCAACTAGTTTCTGGGCGTCTGCGCCCTTACGAAAATCGCGAAGCTGAAAGCACCAGCGTCGCGCTTTAAAAACTGCCCATCCATTTTTGCTGACGTTGAATTGTTTGGCTTGTTTAAAAAGGCTAGGGTTCTCTATCATGTTTTCTTCAATTCTGTGTAATAGTTCCCCTTACAACGATCAACACCACACGGTTGGTTTACAAACTTCAAAAACTCGGGAGGGATGGTTTCGAAACGCGGGTGAGTCTTGTTCGAGGAACATGAGCACTGCAAGTCGCGAGGTGGGCGAAGTGGTCCTAGTGCTAACTGAATCACAACAACAACAAAATTGTTTTATTGACAAAAAAAAAAGGAATATTTGAGAAACTGTATGTCAAAAAAAAAGAACTTTTGTTTTGCAAATTTTTCTGTAAATATTTTTTTAAAAAGTAATCCACAAAAATTGAAAATTTGTTTATATAATTTTTCATGAGCAGGAAACAAAGAAAAACAAGAAAGAGAGAAAAATTTAAATACAGATTTCAAATGCTACAGTTGGTTAAACTTTTAAACAGGTTGCAAACCTACTGCGCATGCCCAAAAAACACTCCAATCAAGAAGTTTTATTGGATAGTTCTCCCCAAAAATGCGTTCGAACCGACACCAGTTCTATTTTTGCATTTGTCTACCTGCAGTCAAAAAAATTTTTTCATTTCGAACGTGCTGATTTCAGCTTTTGGAGTAAGCTGTACAGCCCCAAAAAAGAAGCTCGGCTATTGGTCCCCCCCGGGCCCGGCCCCCCCCACTCCCTTTTTTTTCCTTGCGAGTCGATTTTTGCCAGGGAAAACGGCGATTTTGACAGCAAATTTCTCAAAATTGGCCCCCAATTTTTTAAACCCAGATTTCAGCATGAGAATCAGCGTTCAAAGTTCTAAAAGTCTGCAAAGTCTCATTAAAATCGTATAGAAAATTTCCGAAATGCAAAAGGGCCACAAAAATTGAATCTCGGGCCGGCTGAGCCTGGGTATACTAAAAGGGCTACTTCGTGCCTAAAAAAAAATCCATTGCCGCGTCTTTTGAGTAAAAAAAAAAAAAATTTCCTATTTCAAAAAAAGTTGTCAAAAAAATTTAAAAAATTTTCACATGTTTTTTGGTTGAGGAAAACCCCAAAAACCAAAATTTTGGGTTTTAAATTTTGGACAACCTTTGCTGAAAACTCTGTTTTTTTTCCACACTAAATTACTAGTAGGTTTTTCTGCGCGCTAGGGTGGGTCGAAAATCCCAGAATTAAGCGGGGTATGGTTTTGTTTGCAGTTGACCATATTTGAAAAGAGATCCCACAATGCTGGGGTCTGGTGACGTCACCTTCCATCTCTTTGGAGGCTCCAAACTTGGGTCTAATAGTGAAAAATGGGCCTTTTTGGGCCCTTTCAGGGACCAAACCATGGATCGCCCAGGATGCGGCTATCTCGCGATGGGTGCGGAAAATGTTCCTTTATATTCCTGCAAAGTCTGGGCGATGTGGCTCAACATCTTGGTTAAGCCCAGGCACTTTTTTAACGCAAAAAAAAGTTGAAAACACTAAAAATTTGGGTTTAAGGGTCTATTTTTTACTCAAAGGTCCCAGATACTTATATGAATGGAAAGGGCTCAAAAAATGCAATTTTTTGGTTTTATAACTTTGTGATCGGACGAAAATTGTTGCCAGGGCGAAACTTTAACATTTCAGCAAAAGCTCAAAACACTAAAAAGTGATCTTTAGGAGAATATGTATTACCTCTGTGGATCCAATATTATCATACTGTTTGCAAGATCTAAAAAAATGCAAAATTTTTGGGAAATAAAGCTTTGTGTTTGGACAAAAACTCGAATAGTTGCAAAATAATTAACAAGCAAAGCGAAGCAAAGCCCGTGTGAGTCAAGAGATGGCCCGACGAAGTTTACACTTTCTTTTTTAAATTTAAAAACAAATCGAGTTTTTGTTCAATCACAAAAATTTATATGCCAAAATTTTTCGTTTTTTTTAGATCTTTCGAACTGATAATCATATTGGATTTACAGGCAATCATTTCTCCTAAAGATCACTTTTTAGTGTTTTTGAGCTTTTGCTGAAATGTGTAAAGTTTCGCCCTGGCAACAATTTTCGTCCGATCACAAAGTTTATATACCAAAAATTGCATTTTTTGAGCCCTTTCCATTCATATAATATCTGGGACCTTTTAGTAAACAATAGACCCTTAAATCCAATTTTTTGTGTTTTGCAACTTTGTTTTAGCGTTAAAACAAGTGCCCGGGCTTAACCAAGATGTTGAGCCACATCGCCCAGACTTTGCAGGAATAAAGGAACATATTCCGCACCCATCGCGAGATAGCCGCATCCTGGGCGATCCTGGTTTGGTCCCTGTAAGGCCAAAAAGGGCCCTTTTTCACTATTAGACCCAAGTTTGGAGCCTCCCAAAAAGATGGAAGGTGACGTCACCAGACCCCAGCATTGTGGGATCTCTTTTCTAAAATGGTAACTGCAAAAAAAACCCTACGCCCTTAAATTTTGGGATTTTTGACCCACCCTACTGCGCGCCAATGCACAAAAATTTAAAAACGCATTTCGTAAAGCACGAATTTCTGCGCACAATGCACGATTTTCTGCATACTTGCGCACGAATCGTGCATTAAGGGGGGAGACGTCTTTTTAGTGTTTTAATTTTTGAATCCGAGAAAAATAAAAAAGTATTAAGGGGAGGCCCCTTTAAGTTTTTTACAACAAAAAAAAAATTTTGGTTTTTTAAAATTTGGGTTTTTTTAATCAAAAAGGCTGAAAAGACAGGTTTATGGGAGTTGCGCAAAAATTTTAACTTTTTTAAGGAAAAAACGAAAAACGAAATTTCCCTAAAAGCCTTGGGGTTTTTTGGGCCCCGTGTTTCGTTCCCTTGTTTGGTAGGTTTTTAAGGTTTTTTTTTCCCAAATAGCCCGGGATTTTTTGGGCTTTTGCTTTTTAGAGAAACCCAGGAAAAAAAAACTTTCCAACGTCCCCCCTTTTTGCGACCTTTTTCGAACCAAAACATCCAACTGCCAAAAATTTTTTTTGTGTTTCTTTTATCTTTCAAAGGGCCGCCGGGTCCGGATTCCCCCCATCATTTAAAGTCCAAAGGGCAAAAAAGTCAAAACCGGCAAAAGTACCCCCAAGCGCAAAATTTTGCTTCAATGCAGTTTTTTCTGTGGCCCCAGAAAAATAAAGTTTTGGAGCAAACCTTTTTCCAAAAGAAAAAAAAGGCAACTTTGGCTTTGCGGGAAATTTTTGAATTCTGTACCCCGCTGAACAAAAAGGGGGCTCTTATGGGAAGAGTGGTGCGGCTGATGTCCGTACCACCATTTCAGGGGGCATACGGAACGCCGTAGCATGCTCCGTATCAGACACTGATTTTTTGCAGTGTACACCGTGCCGCTGTGGTAGAGTACGAGGAGGTACGCTCCGAAGGAGGTAGGCGTGTATATACTTCGCCGGCTTGCTCAGAGACGCGCAGGCAGCCCCCCACTCCCCACGCTTCCCCCCCTCTCGCGACGGCTGCCGAGCCGACGACATGGCGGCAGCGTGCCGAGAAGGTTGCCGTTCGCTGTATGCTCTGCTACTCTGAGTCAGGCGCCGCCGGCGTCCCAGATCCCTCATCAGTCCCCAGAGTCCAGCGAAGCTAGTCGGTCACTTTGCAGGCCGAAGGAAGATAAACCACGAAGGACGCAGCCATCATGATCTTCATGCAGTTTCCTTCTGTGGCTGAGACGTAAGTTTGAAGCAAATCCTAAGTTTCCGACTGAGGCGCAGGCATCATCTGGTCGTTGCGTATGCGAAGTGTCCTGCTAGCAGGTCTGTAGCAGGCCGAGCGCTTGCAAGTATGCATGATGCATTCTCTCTCTAACCAAATCAACTTTCCTGGTCAAAGTGGAATTCTGGCCTCCACTTTTAAATTGCAATTGTATTAGAATGCTTGTTCTCTCGTGCGGGCAGGCCGAGCGCCTGGCTGGCGTGGCTAGAATATTGCAAGGTAGGTGTACGCCAGACCGTGTCTTGTCGTAACAGGCTTCGCGATGCTGCGCCAGTTACGACAATCCACGTCTGGCGTTTACACCTACCGCGGCGCTGCCTAATAAGGGCCTCTTGTTAAACAAAAATGGAGGCCAGAATTCCTCTTTGAACCGGAAAGATAATTTGGTGTGAGAACGATTACACCATAAGGACTACCTTCGGCCACAAAATCGAGGAAATCGTCATCATAGTCGTGAACCATGATTGGGCTTCTGACAGAAAATGCCTGCAATTCAAATTTTTGTCCGAGTTACGGCAATCAGCACAGTTTCTCGAACACGGAAGTTGCCGTAACTCGATCAATTGGAATTTTAGTATGTTGAATGCTTTGCGTAGTTTTAAGTTGTCGACACATTCCGTCGACTATATTGTTCAGAAGATATTCTGCAAATGCAAAGGCGATACTTAAGTACATTGTTTGGCGATACAATTGAGTATCGCCAATAAACGGCCTTACGGGAAAGTATTGCCTTCAGAACGGCGATACACGGAAGTATCGCCAAAATTTGGCGATACTTTTGGGTATCGCCAAAACCACGGCATTAAACTATGAACTCGTCCCCTTCATTTGTTCAACGTTTAGTGCCAAATCGTGGCAGTACTCCAAAGTATCGCCAAATTTTGGCGATACTTTTGTGTATCGCCGTTCTGAAGGCAATACTTTTCCGTAAGGCCGTTTTTTGGCGATACTCAGTTGTATCGCCAAAAAAGGTACTAAAAGTATTGCCTCTGTATTTTCAGTGAACTCAACAGTGCACTGAGTACACACGGCCAGTCGAAGTGTGAGACAGTCCCATCCAAGTGTGAGACAGTCCCACACTATTTAGAGCGAGACACTGTGTCTCACGCTCACAAGCGTTTCACCTAAACTTTTTCACCGAAACCCACATTGCCAAAAGTTTTAAAGTCAAAACAATAATGTCTAAATTTTTTCTTCCGAAATCAAGTTTTAGGGGATGTTTCACCGAAAATTATATTTAAGGGCGTAGGTGGCATGTTCCCGCCAATTGACAAGGGAAGTTTTTATTTCGTGCAAATCTGACCACATTTACTGGCATTTCAAAACCCGATAGCGAGGTATCGCTAAACGGACCTTGGATTCGGATCAGACTTGATTTCAACATTGGGAGGAAGTTTTTCCGATGTTCGTATCAGTAATAATATATTTGACTTTTTAAGACAGTCAAAAAATTGCCACTCAGAGATGGTTCACTCAGAGAAAGCCACTCAGAAAAAGGCCACTCACTTGGCCACTCAGGATTCATCATTCAGAAAGGGTCACTCAGGAAAAATCACTCAGGAATTGTCACTCAGACAATTTTCTGAGTGAATTTTTCTGAGTGACTTCCGGAATGAATTTACACCAGTGTTAATGCCCTTCCAAAAGGCATTAACAGTTCACGCCGCTCCAGGGGCATAAATCTTTTACGCCCTTAAAGGGCATAATTTAAATGCCTTTGTTTCACCAGTCGGCGGCTGGCGTCTCTACAATGAAACACTGGGCAAGGCACTTTTTGTGCGGGGAAACGTTTTTAGGTCAAATGACAAATTTTAATTTTCGGCAAAAAATACTTAGACATCCAGGTTTTGGGCGAGAAAGTTTAGGTGAACCGTCGTAGAACTAGTGTGAGACAAATGGTGTCTCACACTTGGAAGCGTGAGACAAACGTGAGCGTGAGCCACGCTCGTTGCCTGTGGTTGTCTTTGGTTTTATGCCACAGGACCCACGCTTGCAAGTGTGAGACAAATGTGGCTCACGCTTGTAAGCGTGAGACACAGTGTCTCGCACTAAATAGTGTGAGACTGTCTCACACTTGGATTGGCAGTGCGCTCAAAACGTCTTCCGAAGGAAACGAACTCCATTTTATATTACGTAGAATTTTGTGTAAACATATTATGAAGCCATTTTTCTTTCGTAATATGAAGCTTTTTCTTTGTACCTTACAAAGAAAAGACAAAATAAGATACATAATGTAAACAAATTTAGTTCGCATTATGTTTGTACAAATTTCTTCACCGCCAAATTCACTGTAAGAAATTTTGAGTGTACACGGTAGAAACGGTTCCTGGTTTTCCCAGGAACTCCCTGGAAATCACCTATACCTTCCCCATAGGCTTCCTGGGAAAACCAGGTTCCGTTTTTACCGTGTACATTCTGTTAAGTGTGTGCTCACAGCAAGAACTCACGAGTACACTCTTCAGCAATTATTCACGAGTACACCTTCTTTGGCTTGTACTCACGAGTTCACTCCCACGAACGTGTACTCAGTCGAGCGCTCTCTCACTGGAGTGTACCTGTGGGTACACTCCACAGGTGTACTGAGTACTGAGCACACAACAGTGTTTGCAGCGCGGTTTGCAGAGTAGAGGCCTTAGGTCTCTATTGCAGAGTAGACGCAAATTATGTTTTAGAAGTTGGGCTGTCGGTTAAAGGCCGCGGTAATCCCTACCTTAGGCAATTAACTACATCCATTCCCTGATCGGTCGGGCGGAACCTTTCACTCTCACACTTCAGGGTTAAAACTCGATGAATGTTAATTTGGAAGCTTAATTATATTCAGCGTAAAATCTTTGTTTCTAGCTCTTGGGTTTTTGAGTAAAGCGTGTTGGCATTTCCAGCACTGGTACCCAACAAATGAGACGTCACGTTCGTTTTCACGTGAAAACGGTGATGTTGGTTTAAGCGTGACTAACGGTGAAAATTAATGGTCAAACGAATACGCGTACCGCTTTGTCACACTACTTCGGGTGTATCACGGTATCAGCAGGCGAACTGCCACATTTGTTTGAACGCGACAGGTTGCCTGCAGATTGCGTGTCACACCCGAAGTAATGTGACAAAGCGGTGCGCGTGTGTCACACTCGTTGAGCTGTAAATTTTCACCATTTGTCATTGTTACGCCCAAACTAACTTCGCCGTTTTTACGTGAAAACGAACGTGACGTTACATTCGTTGGCTACTCTACAAATCGAAAAGCGTACATTCGCGTACATTGCATGCACTACCTGGAGCATGCCTAGGCACGCTCTAGCTAGTGCGCCTGCGAAGCATGCACTCACTAACTAGTGCATACATGCCATGCACACGCTTCCTGATGCAGAAAGCTCCTATGCACTAGATACATGCTTCAGTTAAAGTGTACTTGGCATGCAGGCATGCTCCAGGTCGAGCATGCAATGTGCGCTTTTCGATTTGTAGAGTACCAGTGAAGTGGAAAACAAACTCAGGTGGCGATGTTCCTTCGTAAAACTTCCAAAAACTTTCAAAAAGTGTTTATGTTGTCTGTACTTAGAAAGCCTCTCATAATTTCTTCTCTTTTCATTTCAGGCAAGTTCAAACAACATGCGACCCCGACATGGAGAAGAGGATTCGAGCAAGGCAGAGAATGCTCTTTGATCAGCTCCAGTCACGCTGCTATAGGACAAAACTTCCGTGTATATGTCCGAAAGATGATTCGTACCATGAAAATGAAGCCGAAATGACCATCTTTTTGAGAAAAGTGATAGGCGCCGTGTCCTTTGGTAATCCAAAAAATAAGGCTACGGATGAAAACCATTTCACAGGCTTTGATGTAGAACAACTGAAGAGTATTGACAAAGTGTTTGAGTGTTTGAAAAGCATCAAAGATTCGGGAGGGAATGGCGTTGAAATTGCTGTTATAGTGATTATTTTGATCGAAGAAGACAAGGTCACAGAAGTTCCCATATTTCGCGTCAAAGTATCCAGTGAACAGGATACCCCGAACCACTTCGTGGATGTGTCTGCACGGTGTTACAAGAGCTTTGAAGAATTACTCCTTAAGAACGATTTTCCCTCAGCTCAGTTTTGCTATCCACAAGATGGTATATACTCTTTAGATGGAGATGAGGTAAAAGTTTTTATTGACGACAATCCAGCGGCTAAGGAGCGGGGTGCAGTAGCTCGGCTTTCCGAATATGCTAAACCTATTGTTTACGCATCTGCTGCAGCTTTGAATACCTTAACTGGCTACTGGAATAAAGAAGTAGCAGTGAGACTTCCACGTTCATCTGGTTTGAGGGAAGGTTTCCCATTTTTGATGACCCCAGGAACATTGCCTAGCGCA